AATTAACCTACAAAAGTCTGTAGCCTTTCTATATACCAATAACAAGCAATCAGAGAAACAACACATGGAAATACTCCCTTCACGATAGCTGCAAAAAATAAAATAAAATATCTCGGAATAAACCTGACCAAATACATTAAAGAGCTCTACAATGAAAATTTTAAATCACTAAAGAAAGAGATTGAGGAAGACATCAGAAGATGGAAGGACCTCCCATGCTCATGGATTGGAAGAATTAATATTGTGAAAATGACCATCCTACCAAGAGTCATATATAGATTCAATGCAATGCCAATCAAAATCCCCATGACATTTTTCACAGAATTGGAAAAAAACATCCTAAGATTCATATGGAAGTACAAAAGACCTCGGATAGCCAAAACAACCCTGAGCAGTAAGAGCAATGACGGGGAGATTACTATACCAGACTTTAAGCTGTATTACAGAGCTATAGTCATAAAAACAGCATGGTACTGGCACAAAAATAGACCCATAGATCAATGGAACAAAATTGAAGACCCAAATATGAGTACATGCAATTTCAGCTATCTGGTACCTAACAAAGGGGCCAAGAATATTCACTGGAGGAAAGACAGCATGTTCAGCAAATGGTGCTGGCAAAACTGGATCTCCACCTGTAGAAGAATGAAACTAAACCCCTCTTTCAACCTGCACAAAAGTCAATTCCAAATGGATCAAAGACCGCAATGTAAAACCTGAAACTCTGAAACTCTTAGAAGAAAACATTGGAAAAAACCTACAAGATATAGGTGTAGGAAAGGATTTTCTAAACTGGACATCAATTGCTCAGGAAACAAGGGCAAGAATTAATAAATGGGACCTCATGAAACTAAAAAGCTTCTGTACATCAAAGAAGGCAACCAGGGAAGTGAACAGAAAACCCACAGAATGGGAGAAAATCTTTACCAGTGACACATCTGACAGAGGTTTAATATCCAGGATATATAACGAATTCAAAAACAGAATCAAGAGAAGAAGCAACCCAATTAAAAGATGGACTAAGGATTTGAACAGAGAGTTCTCAAAAGAAGAAATAAAGATGGCTAAGA